CACTTTTTGGTCTTTGGGCATATACAGTTGGCTTTTTGAAGAAGGTGTATGCCTAAAACTGCAAAGAGTCTTCCTTTTGATACTGCTTTGTGATAAAGAAATTCAGCTGAATAGTGTTCACATTAAAGAAGTACAGTAATTCTCAGGGCAAGATTAAACTGCTAAAAGAAAATATATCAATCAGAGTAGAAACTGTCTGCAGATTTTTGAGAAGTTTCTTGTTGGCCTGAATATTGAGATGACATTTTTAGAGACTTTACAATGGAGTTCAGTAACCATATGGACTCGATATTTTGGCTCAATAGAAGCACTAGGTATCCAGTTTGTTTCTGCAAATGTCTTTTTGCAATTAATGAAGACAGAAATAAGGTCATTTCAATAAATGTAGTGCAAAAGTTTAAGAAAAATGCATCTAATAAGAAAAGCTACAGTAATGTACTACAACAAATTAGAAGCATAAATTAAGCATTCAGATTCACTACAGAAAAGGGCATGTATTAGAAAAAGATTGTTACCAGGATATACAGGCAGTCCCCGGGTTACGTACAAGATAGAGACTGTAGGTTTGTTCTTAAGTTGAATCTGTATGTAAGTTGGAACTGGCGTCCAGATTCAGCCGCTGCTGAAACTGACTAGCAGTGGCTGAATCAGGACGCCTGGGGCAGAGCAGCTGGGGTGCTGCCGGATTGGTCCAGTAGCGCCCAGAGCAGCGCTACGGGACCAACCAGCAGCGCCCCAGCTGCTGTACCACAGGCGTACGGAGCAAAGCCGCAGAGCACGGGGGCAGCGGAACAGCCCAGACGCGCCGTGGCTGTCCTGCTGCCCTCGGGCTCCGCGGCTTTGCTCTGCTTTGCTCCCCGTCTCCCTGGTCTGCAGACCAGGCGGACGGGGAGCAAAGCGGCGGAACACGCGGGCTGCGGACAGCCCAGATGCGTCTGGGCTGTCCGCTGCCCGCGTGCTCCGCCGCTTTGCTCTGCTTTGCTCCCCGTCTCCCTGGTCTGCAGACCAGGCGGACGGGGAGCAAAGCGGCGGAACACGCGGGCTGCGGACAGCCCAGATGCGTCTGGGCTGTCCGCTGCCCGCGTGCTCCGCCGCTTTGCTCTGCTTTGCTCCCCGTCTCCCTGGTCTGCAGACCAGGCGGACGGGGAGCAAAGCGGCGGAACACGCGGGCTGCGGACAGCCCAGATGCGTCTGGGCTGTCCGCTGCCCGCGTGCTCCGCCGCTTTGCTCTGCTTTGCTCCCCGTCTCCCTGGTCTGCAGACCAGGCGGACGGGGAGCAAAGCGGCGGAACACGCGGGCTGCGGACAGCCCAGATGCGTCTGGGCTGTCCGCTGCCCGCGTGCTCCGCCGCTTTGCTTCCTCTCCCTGGTCTGCTGAAGACCAGGGAGACGGCCCCGTTCGTAACTGCGGATCCGACATAAGTCGGATCCGCATAACTCGGGGACCACCTGTACTTGAATGCAGATATTGCAGCTGGCAGCTATTTTGTTTCTGCTTTGCAGTGGTTTCAGAGAGCTATTGAAGTGCTTATTTTTTGCACTTTTGGGAAGGTTTTTTCCTTTCCCTCAGTTTTAAAAACATCACGTTGTGAATGTAAGTGCTTAAATATTCTGTTTCCTAAACTGTTTTGCCAGAGTTTCTTTACGTTTTAAAGGAAACGTTTGACATTTAAAATGCGATTTTAGACACCTTCTGTAATTTTATTTTGAAAATGTTTGGTTATAGTTTCTAACAGTCTGATCTTGAAGATTTTATTACTCTCAGCTGTACAGGTTAAATATCATCAGGATATCTGGCTACAATGCATTTGACCATTCTGAGACAGTTAAAATATCTTTGAAGTTAGTTACTTATAGAAGAAACTTTAACCATGTTTACAAACCATGCTAAAGTCTCCATTCTAGAATGTTGTTAAATTTATATCTATTCAATAAGTCTTGACTCATGCAGACCATGTACACACTAACAATGTTAAATAGCAGTTATCTGGCTAATTGTGTAGTCGATACAACTTGTGTCGACTACATGAGTAATAGATAAGGGGGCCTTCTGCAAAGCTGATTACTTGTTTACATCCTTAGTGTACACACTTATTTTTAAGCACACAAGTAATCCCACTGAATCCAAACATCCATTTAAGCACATGTATAAATCTAGTAAAAGCAGAATTCAGCTAGCACAGCCCCCCAGGTATTCAAGTCCCACTACAAGGGAACTAAAGCTATGTCTATACTTTGATCTCTGGTGTGATCTATCTTCAGTGTAGTGGATCTAGTAAGGACCCACAGTTCTGAATGCTGAGGGCGCCCTCGTCGACCCGGTGCTACACAGGGTTGTGTGGAGAAAGGGAAGTTGATGGTAGAGTTTCTCCCATTGACCTCCTGCAATGGGACCCCCACCCCAGAAATTTGGTTTAAGGTACATTGATTCTAGCCACACAATTATTGTAGCTGAAGTTGCATGTCTTAAATCAAATTTCTCCCTGGCTGTGTCTACACTGCACCCCTTTTCCGGAAAAGGGATGCAGATTAGACACTTTGGAATAGCAAAATCCGCAGGGGATTTAAATACCCCCCCGCGGTATTTGCATTAACATGGCTGCCGCTTTTTTCCGGCTTGGGGATAAGCCGGAGAAAAGCGGCAGTCTAGACGTGATTCTCCGGAAAATAAACCCTTTTCCGGAGGATCTTTTATTCCTACTTGAAACATTACACATTCCTCAGAAACCTGCATATTCTATTCTGGTTTATATATTGCTGTTTGCCATTCTAGTTCTTCCACTGGGATTACAAGGGAAGAATTTTCTTTTTCTTGATTTCCCTTACCACAAAGCTGTCTCAAAGGGATGGTCCTCTCCTTTTAGGCATTTTAGACACAATCCAGGTGAGTATGTGAACTTGCTGGTTGTGCTGGCTGGAAAACAAGATGAGGGAGAGCTCTCAGAGCTGTAGTTTTCCTGTGTTTCCAAATAAACATACCTAACTGTGATAGTTGAGAACAAGAATGTGGTAGCTACTGGGAACAGCTTTATTTCTCTTTGTGAATAAACTAACTACTGTTTCAGAATGCTAAACTTTGTTTTCCTTTCTGAGAGGGTACATGGACTTCGACAGAGTATAGGTCTTCATTAATATTTTTTTCATGTGTCTTTTCATGTGCATGTTTTCCTGAAAATTCCATGTAACTACCAGAATTTTAAGAAAGCAATGAAGCTGTTCTGTGACCAGCTCAGAAATAAATATCATAATACTGTCTAATTGCATGCTTAAGTACTTGAATCAGTTTGGTAGTACACAGGAATAAGGGTTCACTTGAAAATATGGAAGCTATTTGACCATTCCATATGCTAATCCATATAAATACAGGAAAGTGAACATGAGAATTCCATGACATAGCAGTGGTCAGGCAATTAAAAGGTACTAACTATAGTATAAACTATGTAATTAAATTTCTGAGTCTCCAATTTTGCAGTAAATATATGAATTAAAAAGTATATCTTCAAAGTTGTTATATCAGTGTTACCATGGAGTTTGTGTACCAGGATTCTTTTAAAAAAGAAATGGTAATTATATGTAGCAGATGAGAACAGTACTGTAGATACAGCGCAACCATATTGTAGTTAATATATGTGTATGATGAAGTGTATCTCACATCTCTACTTTTGCAATTAGCACTTTTTTAGCAAATCTGAACATTATGGACCCAATTTGTGTTATGGTAGCATGACGAGGCTGCAGTCAATATTGGGGACCTATTGTACTAGCGACTATACAAACACACAGTAAAGACTGTCCTTGCCTCCAGATTCTGCCACTCTTTGGCTCAATACTATCTTACTCTAATGCTTACAGAGTAAAATAGTACTTAAGGCCTTGTCTACACTACCACGCTCAGTTGACCTAAGTTACACTACTCCAGCTACCTGAATAATACTGCTGGGCTACGTCTAGACTACATGGCTCTGTCGACGAAGCCATGTAAAATAGTTTATTCGGCTTAGTCAAAGAAGCGGGGATTTAAATAATCCCCACTTCATTAAAATAAAAATGGCCACCGCGCTGTGTTGACGATGAGCTGATCTGGCACAGCATGGCAGTCTAGACGTGGCGCAGTCGACAAGGGAAGCCTTTGTTGACCACTCCGGTAAACCTCGTTCACGGAGGTTTACCGGAGCGGTTGACAAAAGGCTTCCCTTGTCGACAGCACCATGTCTAGATTGCTGCGCTGTGCTGGATCAGTTGATCATCGGCACAGCGCAGCGGCCATTTTTATTTTAATTAAGTGGGGATTATTTAAATCCCCGCTTCTTTGACTATGCCGAATAAACTATTTTACATGGCTCCGTCAATGGAGCCATGTAGTCTAGACATAGCCCTGGAGTTGACATAGTTTATGTTGACTTACTGTGATGTCTACATTGCGTTGAGTTGATTGGGAGATGCTCTTCTGTCAATTTACATTAATCTTATCATTGCAGTGGAGTACTGGAGTTGACTGGAGAACTCTCTGCAGTTGATTTAGCGGGTTTTCGCTAGACGTGCTAAATTGACTTCTGCTACAGCAGCATCGATTCCCAGTACTTGTAGACATGGCCAGTGAGAGAAAAGGTGGCAAAATGGGTTTTATATATGTGTTCTCAATTTTAATCATCTGGTATCATTAATGTATCTGGTAACATAATTAATCATTCTTACAGTGTAAACCTGCCTTTCACAAATAGTGCCATGTGCACACAAGTACTGTTAAACTATGTGGTACTATTTTTACTGTTATATTTATAGTAATATTTATAGTAGATGGGGGTATAATTTAAAGCTTTTCAATTCACAGAAGCTGTAAACTGATTTTGGGGTGGGAGGGAGAGTTTGAATTTTTCCCTGAAAAATGAAGTTAGCTTAAAAACCTAGTATTGTGCAACAGAGGAAAATGCTGGCATAATCTTGTACATGAAGTATGATACTGGAAATAGCAACTTTTCCCCCTCCTGTTTGTTTTTCCAGTATGGGGTACTGTATCCTTTTTGTCCATGGTTTGAAAAAGCTCTGTGCCTGGTTAAATAGATGGGGAACTACAGTCCTGACCCTCTCTGCTTTGCTGCTGCTGTTGCTGTTCTCTTGGAAGACTGTGAGACAGAATGAAATCTGGTTGTCAAGAGAATCCCTCTTCAGGTATGATCAGAAACAGGAAAAATATTTGCTATATCTCTAAATTTATTTTTAAAGAAATAAATGCATCGCTTGTTGTTCTTGCATGGAACAAATCATTTTTATTGAGTAAAAGAAATAATTCTACTATTGTGTTGTGGCTTACTATTTTTATAGAGTGCTAAAAAAGTATGCTTTTTATAAAGAGGAGGAGGACCTGGTTCCTGCCATGAGGATATGGTATAATGTATCAATTTATACTTTTTAACTATCCTGGTATATGTGTAAAAGAGACAGATGGAGAGAAGAATTTTACATAAAACTAACATAAAGAACAATACTTTAATGAAATTATTACTTGTAACACTAATCCCAATTTACTTGGATCTGTCCCATGGTGAGCATGAGCTGGCAGCCAGGAGCCTTGGCACCTTCATCCAGTTATAGTGAAAGCGCCTGTGGTCCCAAGCCTTAGTTGCCCTGCCCCCTGGGGCCGTAGTGTGAGGGCTGGTATCCCTAGGCCTTGATGTGCCCCTCCCCCTAGGCTCTAGCTTCTTGTGGTGTATGGCTCTGATTGATTGTTGTTGTTTTTTTTCTCACTGGTGTCTGGTCCCTAACTGAAAAAAGGTTCCCCGTAGCTGGTCTGAGTCTCAACAGCCAGTGCAGGACTCCTTTTGCTCTCTCCAGTTTCTGGCAGCATCACCATGTCTAGCCTTGTGCCAGTCAGCCTCACCATGCACACTCCTATAGCTCCAGCAAGAGACTATCAATGCTCTGGCCCAGCAACTCATCTGACACTGATCTGCTGGGCCCTGACTGGCTGCTACCCACACCGTCATTCTAAGGAGCATGGAAGACCTCTTTCCACCCCTTTCTAGAGCAGGGTGTGGCAGGACTACAAGGTCTCCAGTAGGGGGCCTCAGGACCTAATCCATCCCATCACAATCACCAACAAAAAAAGTCAAATCAGGTTTTATGGGCAAGTCTAAACCTCCCTTGTAGCACTATGACCCAACCTGGATTATGCTAAAGCAGGGGATTTTAACAAGGTCTGGGGCTATGTCTACACTTGCGGCTTCTTGCGCAAGTAATATGCAAATGAGGTTAAGTGTGGAATATTGCCGAGCCTCATTTGCATACCTAATGAACCACCATTTTTTCAGAAGAGGCTCTTGCGCAAGAAGGAGCATCTACACTGCTCCTTCTTGCGCAAGAAATACCCTCGTGCGCAATGCCGTTACACCTATTACTTTTCAGGAAGAACGGCATTGCACAAGAGGGTTTTTCTTGTGCAAGAAGGGGCAGTGTAGACACTCCTTCTTGCGCAAGAGTCTCTTCTGAAAAAAAATGGTGGCTCATTATGTATGCAAATGAGGCTCAGAGATATTCCACGCTTAGCCTTATTTGCATATTACTTGCGCAAGAAGCCGCGAGTGTAGACATAGCCTGGGAGTAGTGTGCCCTGAGTCTTTTTTCAGTTATGAGGTCACAGTCTGAAAGATATTGAGAACCAGTGTACTACTGTGAGAACAAAGAAGTGAAACTGCCTAGAAACAGAAGTAACATGAACTCTCCAAACTGAGTGAAATGTAAACAATAGGAATAGTGAGATGGAAATGCAATCTTTAGCATCCTTTACGGGTTAAAGTAAGTGACATTTCCATTATTACACAGGTAAAGAAATCTGTCATTGAGGGATTGTGTGTGTGTGTTTCTAAAATAAAGTAAATGAAACACTGCTGAGAAAACCGAAAGATTCTGTAAAGGATAACAGGAAGAAAATGACTTCAGTGTTCTCTCGCCTAATATCTGAAATTTTGTGCAAACACTGATACCAACACTGTCTGCATATGAATAAGCTTTGATTTGCACAATATGACTATTTTAAAGTAAGTTTTAGTTTAAAAACCCAACAAAATCTTTGAATCAGTGTCTTTGTTAAAAATCCTGTTATCTTCTACAGGTATGGTTCATAATATGGTAGTAACACTATTAGAAAAATACAGAATATATTTTAGTAACATTTTAATAATGGTAAAAACTAAATGCCATAAAGTGTCAAATATTTCAGTGTTCTACTTGTCTATTGTTTGCCAATCTGTTTCCTTTACAACCTCATTTATATATTTTTCATTGAAGCATACCACTTAGAATTCAGTTTTTTTGGCAAACTTATTAAATTTACTTCTTGATGCTTTTTTTTAAAGCAATTATCTAGTTGTGAAGTCATAGTGGTAATGCAGGTGATTTGTAATTTAATTGTTTAAATTGATTTTCTAAGCTTTTCACTCTTATTATAAAGGAGGATGACCTTACTGCTAAACCTTTTTATATATTCCTTTAAATCAGTCCCATGCTATAGATGCAAATGTAACTGTGTTAGATGTTTTTAAAAGATTTGAAATAGGTTTTGCTTCAATATAACACGATTCACTGCCTATCTCCTAAAACATGTTTACATCCTAAACAATAGAAACCATGGCAATCAGATCCTGGGCTCAGTTACCAACTCATTTTAAGCACTGGTTTTCAGTCCAAACCTTCGAAGGTTACTGCCAACAATTCAAAAGAAAACTCTTGCCTTGCAGTTTGGAAGATTTCCTTCATTATGAAGGGGGAAGAGTCTGTAATTACATTTTTGGTGTTCATAAAATCCCCTGGTAGCAATTTCACATTAGATGGATTCAGGAGATATTGACTGAGTAGACAGGTCCCTCTCCCTTTTGGAGGAACAAAGAACTCATGGACCATTTCATATGCAGAATTAATGGGCTGAATTCATTGCTAGTTTAGCAGGACTGAGCTCATTGGGGTTACATTAGCATCTATTCCTGCCTATCTTCCAGTTTGTAATACTTGGTCATATAACCATGCAACTGTCCTATCATTGTGGTCTCAGCACCCCAATGACTTCTGTTTTATATAATCACTCTTCAAAACTACATTGTTCCAGTTTGCTGAGTATACTATGGTGCATGTGCACTTGGCATCTTTGAGTGGAAATGTCGAAGCATGTGCTTACTTTTCTTTCATTGGTGATTGTGAATATGACCATATGTGCAGAGATGGCTGGGCTGGGAGAGACACTTCCAACCTTGATTTGTTTGCCAAAGTAGATGTATCCATTGGCAGGATTTGGAAGAGGCTAAGAAAACCACAAGAACTTAGGAAAAGGGGATCTCTGCTTCCTCCCACTATCTTCTCAAAGAAAATGCTGTTTTAGTAGTCTGAGAAAGTGGAAGATCAGGTCTCCTGCCTCCTAAATTCTTGCAATTTATGCTGCCTCTTTTCCTTGCTTTCAGTGGCCGAGAGAGCAGATTTAGTGCCTCTTCCTCCCTGTTGAATCTGCTGGCCAGTATAAGCAAGTCCTGATACAAGTAGGTTTGAGACAACAAAGGCTTCCTGCTTGCTGCCTGCCTCCATCATCTCCCGTTATGCTGTGGGTGGCCACCTTATGTATGTGGAGGCAATTCTGGGACTGGAGCTGTTTGATAGCTGCTCCCTGGTGCTAGGATGCTGGAGAGATATCTTTATGCTGAGGTCTGGTGAGCAGAAGTAAGCATTAGCATTAATGAGGACTGGGATTCCCTGGGATAAGAGTTCAAATGGGACTTTTCAGGATCAGAAGCTGGGAGGGGGGTGAGAAAGGTGCATTGAGCAGGAAAATTCTATGTTAGGAGAAAGGGGGAAAGGACTCCTGGCTCTGAGTGAAGGGGATACTGTAAATAAAGGAAGGAGGGAAATGAAGGATGAATTTGGGGAGAACATCAATAAACTGAAAGGGACAACGCAGTGGGAGGAAGCGGGGGAACAACAGGGAAAAATAAAAAGAGGAACAAGGAGATGAGGAGACTAGCACAATATAAACTTATACATGGGGAAAATGATAAAAACCAACTGATTTGGTAGATGGTACTTTGATTTCAAGACATCTGTCTCTGTCCATGCACACTGGGGAGGGGCCTTTAATGTATTTCCTGTTTTCTCCATTTTCCTTTCTGTTTTCAACTTCAGCTTTTAAGTAATTGTTGCTTCTTGCCATCTCATTTTGTCTGTCGCAACTACTTTTCATTCCACTCTCTGAGCCTTGAATGGATTGTGGTTCTTGGATGGTTTTGGCAAGTGGGTGAGACCTGCCTGATTACATACTTATTTCTGTAACTTGTCTGTGCTCAGTGTTTTGTGGTATCTGCTGCCCTGCAAACATGTGCCCCTCCCTTTTCAAAGCTCTGGGAAGTATCTGACAGCTGAGTGAGCTGCTCCATTTGGGGGAGAAAACCAAAGAGTAAATCATTGGAATGCTCCTTCCTGTTCTACCCTGCTAGGAACACAGCAGGGAGGGCAGACTACTGCTGCAGGGGGAGGGTTGGAGAGACTGCTGTGCTGCTTTGACATCCCTCAGCAGGGATAGCTCACAAAGCTATGAGGGAATCCCAAGCAGCACAGGGATCAGATCTGCCTTCCCACCACACTGCACTGTGGGATGTTTACCCACATTGCTTTGCTCTGTCTGTCGTCCTGATGCTAACAATATAGCCATGAAATGTCAACAATAGGAGGCAGAAAAACTGGCTTGACGGTTTTTCACTGTTGGTGACATTTTCATGTTAACAGCACTGTTGTTGCCAAACCTTCCCAGTGTAGATGTAGCCTCAACATTGGCCAAGTAGGATGTGGCTAACGATGACATTTGAAGTTGGGAATTCTAATAGTAGCTAACAGTGTGTTGTATCTCACCCGGACTACTTGATGCTGTTCATTTTTATGTGCGAGAGAAAATATGTGCAAATGGCTTGCCTGCTTTTATCTTTCATTTATGACAGATAAAGATGCCAAAGTAGTCAGAAGAGAAGAAAATCCTCCTGAAAAGTGACTTTTATACTCAGTGGATCTGTTTGTTTGGGTTTTTTTCCCCTGGAGTTGGCATAATTACAATAAATTCTTTAAAGGAAAAAAAGTGTTTGGAAATGCATAATGGAAAAATATGTTCTCGAGGTTGGGAGTGGGGCTTGGTGGGAAACAGAAATGGAAAAACACTGTGTGCTGCTTTGTTATTTATACTCCACCCTTTCTCACTTGGCTTTGGTTATGAACACGATTGTTTCCTCTTTCAGACAGAGAACAAAGTATCCTGTTCTAATCAAGCACAATGGTTCAGAAGTGTTATTTATTTACATAGGCGCATGTCCTACAAATATCTGATACAGTGGCTGTTCTTGAGGCATTCAGTGAAACTCCTCGTACTCTGTCAAGCATTTGCAGGATCAGCACATCAGTTTATATAAAAGAACAAATAGGTCAATGAGAATTATTGGCTGAGCAAAGAGGAATAAACAAAAAACCAGCAGCAATACAAATATTATCCTTCTTTCTTATTCCATACACACACCACAGGCAGAGAGAGAATGTTCATGTAGGGAGGTCTTAATAAATGAACCGTAGTGATTGATTAATTATACTTAAAGGGCAACTGTCAAAAGAAAAATACTATTAAAAAAAATGCCTGTGTCATGAATAAGACGGTAGTTCATTAGAATTAAACATGTAATTCTCACCACTTACTCATTTTGCTGTGTTTGGGCAAGGGTTTTATAATGAGATCAACCACTCTTTAGACTTACAGCTACTGAATAGCTCTGAGACGGTAACAGTTTTGAGTCACTACTTACATTTTCATATAAGGCGTAGTCATTGATGTAATGATTCAATTTCCATATAAGAATTAATATTCTAGTAATGCCTTGAAGGTTGTAAATGACTAGTTAATAGCACCCAAGGCCAATGGAAATTAATGCAGCCATAGCATTCACACATTACTTGCTGCTGGTATATAATATTTTTGTAAAAACTAATATAGAGACTCATTCTCTTAAGAATAGCATCTACAAACTGCTTTAATTCAACAATTAGTCACAGGATGACTTGTGCCATAGTGATAAATAATTTAGAAATAACTTATGATTAGGAAACCATACGTAATTTTTTAACCCCTGTAGGCAAAGCACAGGTCTGTTGTTCGCGTGGATATACCTGTAAAAAGGTTCTTGTTCTCATCGTGCATGCACGTCAATGTGCCTTTCCTTCTCTCACCTCCACAGTGCTAATGCCATTCTGTCCCATCCTCATTCCCACCAAGGCCCAATATGCTTCCCTCCTCTTCTTATCCAAGCCTTCTATGAGACCTCTATATCGGCTCCTCTCCCAGTCCCATCCTGGACTAATCCCATTACCTTTTAAAGTGATGTGGGTCTCAGAAGCAGCTCTCTCTAGTCTCTCAGGTGAGCCAAGACGTGGCTTCCTCTTTGGAACCTAGTAACATCAGCATGCTCTAAGACTGGAAAGGAGGAGCAAGGCAAAGCCTGGTGGAAAGACTGGAAACATGATTTCTGCAGCTGCTTTCTGTAGATCGGACTGGGGTCTGATCTGGTGAATGGGAAGGAGGAAGCAGCAGTGAAACAAGGGTACTTTAACCTTAACCAAACTGTGTGAAAAGAAATTGGGCTGAAGTTTGAGTCAGTTCTTGTTCTTTGTGACATGAACCTATTCACCCATCTCTGCTCCAAATAACCCTCAGAGATCCTCTGGCTGTCTGTCTCTGTTTAGTGTAGCAAGAGAGCATTTAGTTCCTTGTAGGATAAATGCCCTATGATGCACCTTCTTGTGTTATTTCTTAGTGTCCAGCATCATTACAGCATATCTTTTAGAGTCGCACAATGTTGTGCTCTCTTCTGTATATTTAATCGAACAGCTACTGAGTCAGGCATTTTATTGATTTGGAAATGGAGTGAACATTTGTGCATGTGTGGTTTTCTGCATGTGTTCTACATGATAATGCCAGTAGTTCAGTTCCTTTTCAGCCCCAGGTACCTTCTGCTCCTGTGTAACCCACTATGCAGTGTGCATCGGGCATCCCCCTCTAGTGGCTGATTCAGGCAGAATTATTACCCACTGCTAATTCTAGCTAAGGTACTTAGGTTAAGAATTTTAATGGTGACTAGTGACTTGGGTTCCTTGGCCTTTGGGTGCCCAACTTGAGAAGCCTGAAAGGGGACTGATTTTTTAAAAAAGGTGCGAAGTACCTGCCATCTTTAAATCAGACCCAGTAAGAGTCTATAAACTGGGCATCCAAAATTGATGCATTTACTCTGAAAATTTAATGATCTGTTCTTCAACTCTAGGGACAGAGGTCCTTGGTGCTACAAACCCCATGCTTAATCCCTGGTGATAGATTGCAATTAATGTTTTGCATTTATAGAGTGATATCTGTACAAAACTGTGACTGATTTAAAGCTCTCAATCTGTGGGCACCTGTCTGAACATTTAACAGTTAACCTCTTTCCATTTTTTGTTTCCCATTTATAGCTCAGGTGTGCAGACTCTGCCCCATAATGCCAAGGTGCACTACAACTATGCCAATTTTCTGAAAGACCAGGGTCGTAACAGTGGAGCCATCTATCACTACAAAACTGCCCTCAGGTAAGTTCCTTGAAACAACTATTAAGACTGTTTACTTAAACTTTCCTCATCGGGCATATGAAGTGTTGTGTTTTTCTCTTTTCCTAACAATAGGCAGCTCCTTGGTAGCAATTATGGTTTAAGTTGAAAGCTCTTTGGCTCAGTGTTTCTATGTCATTAAATGAGGTAATTTGGCATCTCTCCCATTCTTTGTGTGTCATTCAGAAGTTTCCATAGCTACACATCAAGCAGTGAGGTGTCATTTGTTACACTAAATGTACACTGGTAAATGGGAGGGAGTTGCCATAGCTGTATTTATAGGCTCTCAGGCCATTTATTTTAATACATTATTAATGATGTATGTATGAAACATACCAATTCTGTTACCACCAAGGTAGAGTAATGATAATACTTAACACCTATGCAGAGTTTCACATCTTCAAAGCACTGTACAAATACTGGCATTACTTTATCCTCAGAACAGCCCTGCCTAGTAGGGCTGTGTCCAGACTCAAGGGTTTTTCGAAAAAACTTCACCTGCGTCTAGACTACAGCCGCGTTCTTTCGAAATTAAATTGAAAGAACGCGGCTTTTCTTTCGATGGTGGAAAACCTCATTTCACGAGGAAGAACGCCTTTTTTCGAAAGTGTTCTTTCGAAAAAAGGCGTTCTTGAATGCAAACAGGGCTTTTTTGAAAGAGAGCATCCAGACTGCCTGGGTGCTTTCTTTTGAAAAAGCGGCTTGCCTTTTCGAAAGTACTGCTTGCAGTCTAGACGCTCTTTTTCGAAAGAGGCTTTTTCGAAAGTATCTTTCGAAAAAGCCTCTTTCGAAAGAGGCTTGCAGTCTAGACGTAGCCTAGGTGGGTAAATAGTTTTGTCCCCATTTTACAGAGGAGAATCTAAAACAGCAAGATGAGTTGACTTGCCCAAAATCACAGAGGGTATGTCTACACTGCAAAGTTAATTCGAAATAACAGCCGAGCCGGGACCAGCCGTTATTTCGAATTAACTTCAATAGCGTCTATACATACAAACCGCTATTTCGAATTTAATTTGAAATAGCGGAGCACTTAATTCGAATTTGGTAAACCTCATTCTACAAGGAGTAACGCCAAATTTGAAATAGCTAATTCGAAATAAGTGCTGTGTAAACACTTAATTCGAATTTGCTGGCCTCCGGCCCTTCCCAGTTTCCCCTGGTGGCCACTGTGGGCCAAACAAGGAAAACTCCTCTCCTCTCCCCCAGCCCCGGAGCCCTTAAAGGGGTAGACTCTGGCCAGACGGCACATGCCAGAGCCACGCCTGCCAGCAGTTGCAACCCCTTACCCAGTGGCCACACAATCCCATCCAGTGGCAGCCAGCCATTCCCCACCCAGTCCCCCAGCACCCAGGGGCCAGCCAGGAGCCGTAGATGGCGCACACCTGCCTGGACTGGTGCAGAGATCATGAACCTCATAGAGGTTTTGGAAGAGACCCCCAATGTCCATGATCTCTGCATCAGGAGAAGGAACGCGGCCGTCTATGGCCGCATAGCGGCCACCATGGCCCAGAAAGGCCACAGGTGCACCCAGGAGCAGGTGCACTTGAAAATTAAAGAGTTATGGCAGGGGTTTGCCAGGGCCACCAGGGGCGGCGCTGCAGCAGGGGCTGACCCCTGCCTCTATTTCCCTGTCCTCGACCGAATCCTGGGGGGCGGGATGGTCTGTGCCACCCCGAGGCGCAGCGAGCCGGGACCAGAGGGCCCTGACCCAGGTGCGGCAGAGCGGCCAGCATGGAGGGTACCACGCCAGCGGGAACCCTGAGCTGTCCCGGCACCGGAGTCAGCAGGGTCGTCAGGGGAGGCCACACCAGGTAAGTGCCGTCACTGTCCCCTACCCCAGAGGGCGGGAGGGGGAGAGGGGTAAGGGTGACCAGGGACTGCGCGCGTGGGCCGTGCCTCCCATAGATCACGCAGCCACCTGTGCACGTGCGGGCACATGCTGTGCCACCCTTGGGGAGTTGGCTCCAGCTGCATGCCGCACAGGGGCCGTGGCCCGAAAGCCACACACGTGTGTGAAGAGACCTGACACACTCCCAAGCCTGGGGCGGGATCCAGCAGGACACCCTCCCTTCACAAGCCCCCTCAACACAGAGGCAGGGGCCATCTCGCCCCCACCATGGCCACACTATACACAGCACAGGGGCATGAGTGCGGTCTTGGGGCAGCTCCCACTCCCAAGGAGAGCCAGACATCCCAACCATGGCCTCTGTGCAAGCACGTCGGCTCTGACGGTGCAGGGCACGATCATCCTCACCTCGCAGGGGGTGTGGGGCATCATCCACTGCGTCCCCATGGAGAACTGACCACTCCCCTTCTTTCTTCACAGTCACACCAGCTGCATGTGCAGGGCGCACCACCCCGCCTGGGACATGCTCCTGCTCCCAAGGGCTCCTCCGGACCACCAGGACGTGGGAGGGGTACCGGGCCCAGCACCTGGGGGCCCTGCGAGCCCTGTACCGCACCATCCAGGCCTGGGTGCAGGAGGACCTGCAGCTTCGCCGGGAGCAGCTTGCCCAGGACCGTGCCACGTGCTCACACCTGCAGGCCCTGCTGTAGCGCATCCTGCCCTGTGCCACCCCAGCGCCTGCTGCCCCCCCAGCTACTGTTCCTCTTCCCACGTGGGAGGGGTACCGGGCCCAGCACCTGGGGGCCCTGCGAGCCCTGTACCGCACCATCCAGGCCTGGGTGCAGGAGGACCTGCAGCTTCGCCGGGAGCAGCTTGCCCAGGACCGTGCCACGTGCTCACACCTGCAAGCCCTGCTGTAGCACCTCCTGCCCTGTGCCACCCCAGCGCCTGCTGCCCCCCCAGCTACTGTTCCTCTTCCCACTCCTGCCCCTGCTCCTACCTCTCCTTTCTCAACCTCCTCACCCTCCTCCTCAATCTCCACACCCCCCACCTCAACCTCCACACCGCCCTCCCCATCCGCCCGGGGATGCTGAGGCCCTCGCACCCGCTGTGCTGGGAGACATGTGGCCCGACGAGACCCCCACCCCTGAGTGCCGAGCTTCCCCTCCCCCTTCATCCCCTTGCTTTCCCCGTCGAGCTCCCTCCTCCCAGTTTTCCCCCTTGCCTCACCCACTCTCTCTCCTCCCGTCTCCCACCTCCTTTCCCCAGACTTCCCAGAGTTTCATTGCCCCTCCCCAGTTTTGTTAAATAAAGACAGTTCGTGTTTATGAAAAAAGTGTCTTTTATTTGACATCAGGAAGGGGGGGTTGGGAAGGGTATCTGGAAGGACGTGAGGGAGGAATGGGGCACGCGCCCCCGGTGGGGAGGACCGGGGTGGCTCTAAGGGTTCCTCGGGGTGGATGCTTTCCTGCAGGGCCTCCTGGATCCTGACAGCCCCCCGATGGCAGCCTGCAGCAAGTGCAGCCGGGCTGATGGCAACGACCCCACGAAACGCACCGGCGTGCCAAGGGGAAGCTCTGCCATGGGGCCATGTGTCCGAGTGCAGACACTCAGGGCACTCCAAGACAGGACTGCTTTGCTGTCCCTCATCGAGGTAGACAAGCAAGTGGGAACCCTGAGAACTGTCTGTCTGGGGTGGGGGTCGGGTCCCTTTAAGCACAGAGCTCAGTCAGCCTCAGGCAGCAGCCCCACACAAGAAGTCCTAACGTGATGCCCTGCCAGCACTGGTTCTTACCAGCCTTAACTTCGGTTCAGGGTCCACTCAGTGTGGACGCACTATTTTGAAATAGCAAAACGCTATTTTGAAATAGGTTTTGTGTATTAACTATTTCGAATTAAGTTAACTCGAATTAACGCTGTAGTGTAGACATACCCAGAGTGAGTTTGTATGAGATCCAGGGTTATAACTAAGGCTTTGTGATGCCCAGTCCCTCACCCACTCCTACAGACCATGCTGTCCCTTCCGACGGGCGCAGCCACACTACCCTAGTTAAGGTTGCATTCCGACTTCTGTTTAAATATTGACCTTTCTAAATCCTTTAAAACGGACATACGTACATCAGATTTGTTTGGAATTTGGTGTGCCTCAATGTCGTAGCTGGGTCATGGGTAAACAGACTTAGTAGTCAGAGCTAGAGTCTGTAGTCCATAGACAGGAGTCAGGATACCAGGAGGTCAGAAGGAGGAGATAAACTGGAGATCACAATGACACAGCAGACACCAAAAGTCAAGATGGAGCAGGTAGCAGGAATTGGGGAGGGAGCAGAAAACCACAGAGCAGAGTGGGACCCAGCTGTTCAGACAGCTTCCCGTTCCTGCCGCCATCATCAGTACAGCCACCAGACCAACCTGCTGATCTGGCACTCTGCCAATCAGACCTCAGCATGGAGCCTCACACTGGGGCTGGGTGTTGTGGGTCTCAGGTAAACTATTACCAGTAAACTGCTAGGGATGTTAATGGTTAGCTGGTAAGCCTCACCCGTTAAGGCTTACAGGTGAGACTTACTGGTTACGGTCAACCGGTGGGGGATGGAGCAGTCCCCCACCCACCATAGACAGGGGGCTGCTCCAGCCTGGCTGTGGGAGTAAGGGGGTCACTCCAGTCCAGCCCACCCCATTTAGTTGGTCAAATGGTTAAGTTTAATGTTTAACTGGTTAACTAATTAAATGGGATTTTACATCCCTACAGGCTGCTAGGTGACGGGCGGGAGCATGGCAGCTCCCAGGAACCCTGTGGGCCTGAGTTTGAGACCTGTAATTCAAGACAGGCGGGTGAAGCCAAAGGGTTGTTGACTCAAATTTGGGGTCATTTGTGCTAGAGGTTGTGGAAATATGCCGTCACTTCCAAAATAGCCAATTTTCAAAACGTTTCTAGGGTGTTTGTGGCTTTTTGTCTTCAGAGCTAGAGATCAAGCTGTTGATGACGGTCAAAATAGTCTGTCAAGTTTTACCCAAGGTAGTGCATGACACTCACTAAATTTTGGGGGACCCAAACTAAGAATGGTATTTAAGAAAAGGCATGTTTTTATAACGTCTGAGTGCTAACCCAGAAAAAAAGGATGGAAGGTTTCCATTC